ATGTGGAAAAAAGCAAAACTCAACAATACCCTCCTCTCTCTCTACCAACTCCCCCCTTTCTCTTGCCTTTGCTGTAGGTGCTCTATATCTATCTCATCGACATGCTATCCAGTGGACAACTGGAATTGAAGGAGGTCGGTTCGGTCCGTTCTCCACATGTAGAAGAGAGAAATGGCCCGCTTGACCCCGACTTGTCCGACGATGTCAAGGCAGGCTTCACCGTGAACGACCAGCGGGATATGCAGCGCATGGGCAAGAAGCAGGAGTTACGGGTGTGTCTACCTCGGGATGTGTGGCTTTCCGGCAGGACTGACTGAGCATGTAGAGGAACTTCCGCATGGCCAGCACCATCGGTTTCACGACTTGTGTCATGGGTACATGGGAGATCCTATTGACGTACACCCCCCATATTACACGCGTGTTTAGCACCAGGCTAATGCAAAGCCAGCTCCAACACCCCTGGTCTGATAGCCGGCGGACGACCGGCTCTGTTTTGGTCCTTAGTATGGGCATACTGCGGGCAGTTCTTCATCGTGCTCTCCATGGCGGAGATGTCTTCCATGTAAGCATGGGTACGGCTTTTGTGACTATGGTCTGACTGTGACTAGGGCACCCACTGCGGGCGGACAGTACCATGTAAGTGGCATATAGCGAAAGTAACTCACTCGGCGCTGCTGACATCTCTGCCAGTGGGTTTCCGAATTCGCTCCTCGGGCCTACCAGAAATTCCTCAGTTATGCCTCTGGTAAGTCCATTGCAAATGATCCTCAACTACGTTCAGGACTGAGTATAATAGGATGGCTCTCAACGATATCCTGGCAGAGCATCGTCGCCCTTGATGCTTACCTGGCTGGAACGATAGTGCAAGGCCTCATCTCACTGAATGACGACACGTACTTGCCAGCACGCTGGCAGGGAACGTTGCTCGTCTTTGCTGCAGCAATCGGCATGTCATTGTTCAATATCTTCGGCGCGAAGCATCTGCCATTGGCGGAAGGGATCTTCGTTACATGTCATTTCTTTGCCTTTATTCCAGTGATCGTGACCCTGCTCGTACTCGCCCCCAAGGCAAAGGCAGAAGATGTCTTCACTGGGTTTACAGATTATGGGTCCGGATGGCCATCTCTCTCATGGACGGTCATGGTCGGCCAGGTATCTTGCATGTTTGTCGTGCTGGGTGAGATTCCATGCTCAAATTTTAGACAACTTGGGTAGCTAATCCTTACACTCTACTTTTCTAGGGTCTGACTCTGTCGCACACATGTGTAAGTGATGACTGACACGTCATACAGAGCTTCTTACTGACATTCCGGTAGCGGAAGAGATTGAAAATGCCAGCGTCATCGTTCCAAAGTCGATGATCTGGGCGTTCCTCCTGAATATTCCTTTCGCGTTTGGCCTGCTCCTCACATACTTGTTCTGCATGCCCGACGTGCAAAGTGCCCTCGACTCTCCCACGGGTTTCCCATTTATCCATGTCTTCCGCCAGGCAGTTGATAACACTGCCGGTGCTACCATACTCGTTGTGATTGTCCTTATCTTGATTGTTATGATCACGATTAGCTCTCTGGCATCGGCTTCACGTCAGACCTTTGCCTTTGCGCGCGATAACGGCCTGCCCTTTGCAAACTGGCTAGGAGAGGTAGGTTTCGTACCAGCTTTAGTCTGGTTGTTATAACTCACACGTAGCATTCTGCAGGTCAACCCACGACTACATATCCCGGTCAACTCTATCATTGTCACCTGTCTCTTCTCAATGGCAATGTCTCTCATCAACATCGGCTCGACCGTCGCCTTCAATGCCATGCTCTCTCTATCGACCACCGCGTTGATGGCGACCTATCTCATCTCGATCGGCTGTATCATTGCTCGTCGCATTTCCCGGAATCCCCCGCTCCCACCATCGCGATGGACGCTGGGCCGTTTTGGTCTGCCCGTTAATATCCTGGCCATGGTGTATGCCAGCTGGTCTTTCTTCTGGAGTTTCTGGCCCAACGCGTACAATGTCAATGCCGAGAACTTCAACTGGGCGTCGGTGTTGTTCGTGGGGCTGATGGGCATCTCGACGATTGTGTACTGGGCCTATGCGAGGAAGCACTACGATGGACCGGTGGTTAAGGTGGAGGGAAGGAAGTTCCAGTAGTCTATTAATGAGGGCCAGTCTCACAACCGGGGAAGGTTGATGGTGATGATGAGATGTGTATGGACCGGATATCGATGCTGTCGAGTAAGGCTTAGTGGCATGTATAGTGTACATCTCTTTCCATTCTATCTTTCTTTTTGACTTATTTTTTTGAGTCTTATTATTATAATATAATGTGGTTAGATCTTTGATGCTCTTGTAAGATCTCATTTTGACTAGGGTTATGCCACCCTGATACCCAAGAGAGAGCAGTTGCAACATGTCTAACTGTATATAGCGGCTTTGGTTCAACGTGAACTGAAATACCTGTTTGGATTGTACATTTATCATACCAGGAATCAGATATTAATCCTCACTTTTCAACAGGGCCTAGCAACCAAGAGACACGATGATTATCATATATGATATTTAAAAGCGAAGGATGGGAGTGATCAATTGTCTTTTCTCTTTAGTGTCTAGAGCTCCTCATAGCCCAAGAGCATACTACGAGTCTCAGTCTTAGTAATATGGGAGCCAGACCCAGGACACACCCGGCATAGCGAGTAGTCCTGACTTGTAGGAACGAGAAATCCTCACCATCTGGCAGGCCGTCTTAAAACCCAGTCATCAGCAGGTTGTGACAGACAGTGAAAGCCAACTCATGGAGACTTTTGTATCAAAGTGCTTCGCGGATATACTTCGATATGCTATGAGAAGGCAGTGCTGATGACGAGGTCTATACGATGCAACGTTTCCGGGGCGTGATATGGTCTGATGCAAGGTAATCATGAAAGTGATTTCAGTGGTATCTAGGGCACACCGTGTCATACAACTCAACGTTTATGAGGGCACTAATCTGTACTTCTTGTGTAAATGCAGGAGTGACAGCAGAGGTGGTTCGTTACAATGACTGTAGGAAGCATTTAGGATCAGACCTGTGGGACAGGGCTTTCATTGCTTGATATATTCACAACCTCTACCGTTCAAAATATTGCCCATGAGACAGACTTTGAAGAAGGTGCCTAATCGACTCTGTCTGTAAAGTATGTACAAGAATGTAGAGATTGAGGACGAGTGCAGCAATAGAAGGGGTGCAAAGCTGGAGCCGGAGGAACATAGCTCAAAGCCGAAGACAAAAAGGCTAGTGGGAAGCATTAAAGTCCTGAGAGTAGTGGAATAAAACACTAATTATTTTGACCTTATGTCCTGAGCACGGTTCCAGCCTGACTGACCCTTTTACGGTTGAAGGTAGAGTACACTAGGATTATAGAGAAAGGAAAAACATCGCAGAGGATCAATTTGGCTGATTGTGGTCCAGTGGTCTCTATATAAGCGATGATTTTAATCACGCTGCGGCGTGCGGGCGAGCATTGTAACTTCAAGAAGGTTCGTTGTGTTGATTTGGCGTTGTGAGATCGGGTTGATATAGATTAGGAGACGATATTGGCAAGTTTGCGATGCTCCAGTTAAGACCCGAAGCTTTCGCTGCTTTAGCAACACATTACCATGCGAAGCTGTCACATAGAACGAGCTCTAGTCTGGGGATAGTTGTGCATTTCCAGCTCGTGTATATGATCGATCGTCCTTCCAGAGCCGGATTTCCAACCTTCCAAGGCTTTCCATTCAGAGATATCGAGATATGTATTCGCGGAGTAGTCAGGAGATCCGCGCGATCTTCTTTGGCATAGTGCCTTTATCAATGGCCGATAACACGGTAAACAGGCAGCAAGCAAGTAAACACCAGATTCAATAATACTCCAGTTGACAAAGGTGACCGATGCCCAGGTACCGTCCTCAAGGGGATCATGCTGGAAAATTGCGACGCATTGTATGATGGATGTAATCATACCTCTAGACAAGGTGAGCTTGCTATAGCCACGACAATAATATACGAAAGTGGGTGGATGAGACTCATACACGCTTCCGGTCAGGATTGTCACAGCCAACCCTATCTTAACTTGCACGTTGACCTGAAGTTTCCAGATAACTGGCTGGGGAAGTATGAGCATGAAGAAGTCCATGATCCCATTTGGGAGAGTTCCCCATCGAAAAAATAGAGGTAGATCGATGCAGTGTCCCGGAATGCTCTTGTCCCAGAGGTATTCCACTGGAATACATTCAAGAGCACCGGTGAGAATGTCAGCCACTCCTAAGGCGATAACCAACCTCATTAAGATGTAACAGGCTACCCGATATCCCTTCTCGGTGAAGACACGAAGATAAAGAGTAAGCATCACCACCCGAGGGATCATACAGGCGGCCGAGTACAGTATGGGGCATACGAGAAGAAAATTCGTCCATGGGATCCAGGCTTCTGGATCGATCACTTCGACAGCGTCGAGATGCCATCCAACCCGTCCTTACTGGGCACCCACTAAAGTTCGTTCAGCGGACAGCTCTTTCACCTCGTATAACGGGGCAGTCTGCTTACGTATACCGTTTATATCCAAGCCAAGACAAATGACAAGCCCTGGCAATATAACTAAAGATCGACAAGCCGTTTACGATGGCTTAGATCAAACGGTTGCATGTGTTCTACTAAACAAGATATATTTACAGTAGAATGACACCTGGAGCCACCGCCCATCCGACAGATTGTCGTTCTCTACTCATGTTTATGGATCTAAATAGAATGCCTTGTCAACCGTAACCACATGTGCGTGACCTAAATAGCGACATTTGGTGGCATTTGCCAACTTCTGGACTCGCTTCTTCCTATCAAGGCAAAAGATTATTCGCCAGACTTTCCACTAACTCCACATATAGGCCGGGATCTTCCCGCTGCTACCCCCACTAGGGTAAGACGAGAACGGATATAGGACTCCATTGGAGGCAACGATCGACGATGATTCCTGGGTATAACTTACTCTTGAGTGGTTCATACCTTCGATGCAACCCTCCAGCCGCCCCGCCTGACACGGAGAATCACAAAGCAGAGAGAAAGTACATAGCTAACCCCAGAAAAGACGCAGGCAAACCTGAAGCTGTCCCCATCCTGCGCCGCAATGGCTCCCGCAATAGGAGGGCCGGTAAGACCACCGATGGCGCCAATGGCAAGGGTTAGGCCGACGCGGACCCCCACCTCACTTATTGGGGATAGAATAGCAATTAAGACAGGACCCAACCCGACCCCTCCCCCTGACCCAATTCCGAAGAGAGCAGTGAAGGTCAAAATCGCCCCGTTGCTACGTGCTGGGAGCCATAATGCTAGGACGAGGGCGGCGGTGAAGGTGGTCATGACGATCATGACGTTGAATGCACCCACGCGGTCAGCGATGTAGTTGGGCACAGTACGACCGAAGAAGCTAAACAATCTGGAATTAGCCTAGCGACAGTCGAACGATGCCACAGAAAAGGGGCCCTCTTACCTAGCGCCGTTGAGGATTGGTATGAGGCTTAGTGCGAGGCTTGGAGACATTCCGTGCTGCATAGATACCACCGCGATGTAATTAAAGGGGACAAACATGCCCCCTGCATCCCGTTAGTGCATCGAACCATCCGGTGGTACCCGTGCACTTACAGTAAAGGAAAAAGCAAGCTGCAGCCAGAACACAAAAGTTCAGCTCGCGGAGGGGCCGAGTATAATCACTAGTTTTGAAAGGCCGCGGATGATGCACCAATGACGACGAGATCGTGAGGTTGGCGAAGATCATCATGGCTAAGACAAGGAAAGCACAGATTCTCATGGTCCAGGCGAAACCCACTTGGGGGATAAGATGTTGGACCATTAGTGGAAAAATGACCCCACCAAGGGAGGAGCCCGCAACAGTCAGCCCAGAGGCAATGGCACGCCTTCTCCGGAACCACGTATAGGGCTACAAGCAGCCGGTAGGTCAGCATCAGTAAAGTTGTTCGGAAGGAGCTGTCCTTACAGCGCTCATCGATGGGGTGAAGATCATGGCGCAACCGAGGCCCGAGCAAACAGACTGGCTTAGCATGAACTGATAATACTCCCGGGACAGGCTAGCCATCATGAGACCAAAGCAATGAACCAGCGTGCCGATCGCGATGGGAATCCGTGGACCGTAGTTGTCAAAAAGCTTACCCGCTATAGGTGAGGGGAATAACATTAGGAAAACTTCTGGTGGTTAGTACTGCAGAAGGCTTCCGGTAGATATACACTGGAAGGTGGCACACACACTCCATTGAAGTTATCCACGAGATTGTCGAACTACTGTAGCCTTTCAACTGGCTCGTCTCGTACTCCGCTTGGAAGACCCCAATACAGTTAACCCAGCCAAAGGAGGCGAAAAGGGCTGCCGATGAACCTGCGACAGCCCTCCATGCTTTGGCGCTGCGTTCGGGATCGGCTTTTGGAGCCTCCGCGTGTTGTTGGACTTCCGGGGTTGGGTCTGGTAAAGAAGAATCTGCGAGTGTTTTCGCGCTTGGTGTATGGGGAGAAGAGGCCATTGTGTCCACCATATGGGCATAAAAAGATCAACAGAGAATTGAAGGAAAGGAAAGGAAGGGGAAACCATTATCAGGTACATATTTATGTATGCTATTCACATAGTCTGCTGGAGTGTATACCATAGTTGGTGATCACATGTTGGAGTGAACCCTGGTCGAATTTGGGTCCTTCTTTTCTTTGTTCTTGTTCTCTCGCTCTTTTTTTTTTCTCTTCTTTTTTTTTTACTCTCATTCAATGGTCTTACCGATCATTGAATGGTATAAATAGCCAGTAGTTACTACTGCCAATCCACTTGCTTTAGTTTTGTTTCTCGTCCCTTGCCCTAATTCGACCTTCGAACCCCAAAACTTGAATTTAATATTCTTTATTTAATACGCAAGAAGGATATACGGCATTTCGCTGATTAATCTATATTTAAATAATCTTATTAATATAATTCAGCCCTTATATATCGCTGGAAAGCTTTTAACTTATCGGCACCAATATATAACTATGGCCAAGCTTTTTAGAACTATTAAGCAAATAATAGAATAGGGGGCGCTATGGCGACTTAGAGATCTTAAAATAGTCTGGGACTATGAGACGAACGAGATTTTATTAGCTATCTGATTACGCAGGTATTGCCTTGCCACAACCAGAAGACTTGACGATTTACACGTGCGACCGGGCTTTTGCTGCTTCGCAAACAACCAACGCTATTCTGGTCCCCAGAACCCATCTGAATGCGTAACGCCTTACTTAGCAAGTCTTGAACGGCTGTAGCCACGAACCAGGCGATTGACGCACACCTAGTATCTAGTACATCGTTCTGGCTCCAAAACCTGCTTGCTCTGCTGTCTGGAAGACGTCAAACGGCACTGTCGCATGGAGATCTTAAGATAGCCTCGGTCCTACGCGGGCGATGCCAGCGTTCCAATGTTCATTATGGTCAGGTCATCATCATTCAACGTCTATAAACGTCTACTAGCATTATACATATATATTCAATATTATGAGCATACCAGAATCCCGCTTTACACCTGCTCAAGATGTGACCCATAACTATCTTTCTCGACAGGTACTGGACCTTTAGATAACCGTTCGATATATACATTTAAGCCTATCTCTCTCTACGCCTTATACAGCATTTCGATATTCTATTTCCTAATATTACTTTTGAAAACCTGATCTATTTCTTTAATAATGTATTCTTAGTCTCTAGAAGAAAGAACTATATCTGTCAAGATTATCTACTAGTCAGGGTAGAAGACCTGTCGACTAGGTAAGGATACGTAGGCAAAATAGCAGTAAATAGTCTATTGACAGAGACTGATTCTTGATTTCTCCCTCTACTACTTCCGTTGCTAATTTATAGCTGAGGATCCCTAAAGTTCCTTGTATAGAGTACTGAATCCTCAGAGAGGGACCACTGTTCGTTATTGAAAAGGTGACTGATATAGACACCGAAGGCGCCGTCCGGCCTCCGAGATGTCCATGCACCTGGGGCAGGGTATACTGTACAGTCACCTTGCATGATCGTTATCAATTCTGTGACAAATTTTATATTAATTAATTAAATTATAAATTTTATTTATTTATAATATTATAATTAATATTTAAAATAATATAAAAAATAATATTATTTAACTTTTTATCTATAGACTTATACACAAGGCAGCGGTTTCGATTTAACTGTCAAAATACTCTATCACCGCCTCAACTGATAGCCTAGACATTGTTCAGGTACTTAGTCTGCCAATAACTAATTTCTTTTCTATAGAGGCGCTTGGAACTGGCCTCCATATCCTGCATACAGAAGTTGTCCTCGAGCCCTAATCAGACGGTATATCAAGATTGCTGCTCAAGTTGACCAGGTTCCGGCAGGGGTTATAAGAGCAGTTACTTAAACTGCCGCATATGCGATTTAGATACAATGTTAGGGCTATAGTCGAGCCCCTTTTGCACGCCACAGGTCAACTCAGAGATCCTAAGAACCGTCTTTCTTATTAGCGTCAGGTAAAACCTTTTCGCGTTCACTCGGTTGTTACTAAAGCGACTACATGTCTAAATCTGTTCTTTGAAACCAAATCTTCTCGCCGCTCATTTCCGGCTCCAAGTCTATTCCCACCTCGCTCACTAAGCCATTTACACCAATTCGAAACTCCGCTCGCACCCTTTCATTATCGCGAGGGTCCTGGTTTCTCTCCCTCAGCGACGCCAACCAGAACTCCCCACTTACATGCTCCATTAAGATCACAATCGGCACCTCACACGTCAGTCGATCCGCAACGAGGCCGAAACCATCTATATCCACCCTGAGCTCCAGCCTGCCATACCCCGGATGCTTGTACAGGCCCGCATACTCCCACACTCCGAGCGTAGGCGGAATTTGTACGACAGGCAACCCAGGGTATAAAAGGTCCTTTGCATGTGCCTGCTTCTCCCTCCATGTAGCAATTCTCTCTGAAATCTGCTGTTGCCAGTCCACCCGATCGTGCGATGGGATTCCAAGCACCTGATCCAGTAGATGCATATATAGCACTACCTGCACGATATTGCTCGTCAGCGTAGTGTTCCCTGCCATGACCAAGCCCCACTGCCGTCGTGGAAGATACATCATTGTGCATCCATAACCAGCAACACTACCATCGTGCCAGATAATATCCTCACCATGGTAGCTATCCCGTGTCCAGCCAAGTGCATATAAATGCGTACCGGGGAACATATTCGTCGGGTCCTCAGCAATAATCGTACGTGGTTGTATGAGCGCTGCATGTGCATTTTTGCTCAGGGGCCCGCTACATGTCATCATACATCGAATCCACCGCGCATAGTCGACGACACTACTAATCATGGCACCAGCGCCAGATCCGCCGATGATGTCGGGGTATGGTTCGGGGGTATATTCGCTTTTGTTCGCGTTCCAGGTGTAGCCCTGTGCTAGGATATTGTCGCCAGCCTGCGCATCATCACGGGTCCAGTAAGTGCTGGCCATGTGGAGGGGGGTCCACACGCGATGAAGCAGGAATGTCCCGAGGTTCTCCCCCGTTAGGGTCTCGATAGCATGGGAGACTGCCGTATACATGAGATTGTTATATATGTATTTTGTGCGCAGCTCGGCTGTAGCTGGGAGATATCGCAAGATGCGGACTGCGTCTTTGATGCTACCGGGCGATGCTCCCGTTCCGCCGTAGTGGCGGATATGATCGGGTATGCCTGAGCGGTGGGAAAGAGCGTCTTCGATGGTGATCTGTGCTGTGGTGTACTCGTCCTCGAGGACAAAGTCATCGCGGATAATAGATGCTAGGGGTGTCCTCCAGTGGATCTGGCCTGCTGTCGTGGCCATTCTAGTGTTATTCTCTCCGTAGTGGTTATTGCTGTCATTGATAACCAGGGACATGGCCGCTGCGGTGAACGCCTTGGTTGTACTGGCCATGTAAAATAGGGTATCAGGGGTTGTTTTGGTGTCAGGATACTCGGCGATTCCATATCCCTGCAGACAAGTTAAGACAAATGTTTAGTAGCAGTTGGTAAGGGACATTTACTTTAGAGAAAGTCCTGGATCCGTCAATGACTGCGACGGACATGCCAGGGACGTGCCATTTTTTTAAGAGGACATGAACCAGCGCGTCGAATTCGGGGGTCAGAGGGGAGTGCATCATTGCGAATCAGGTTCCGAAAGGATTATGCTTCTCTCCGGGTGAAGGCGGGGTTCAGCCTTAGGAAGATTACCCTACAGCGAATAATCCTTGCTAGTGTGGAATGGGATTCACCGGAAGTTAAATATCTCCGTTCCATTGCTTGAATATAACATTCTCAGATACAAGGTATCCTTCAAAAGGACACTTTGTATACACCATTCTGGGACCTCACGTTGCCTGAGACTTGAGATATTACGTCTTCGACCAAATACCTCGTACTTGAATCAGAGGTTCGCCCGGGCCAATTTGCCTGAGACTGCCGCTAGTATTTCATTTTCAATTTTACTAGGCTTATATTGGTTATTAGCTGATGAACTTCTGTTAATATATGTGTCTTTCGATGTCCGTATTTTAGTGTTCGCGGACAAATATGAGACCGACGCCAAGGTTATTTATAAAGTAATCAAAGCTCCGAGCGGTGCATTATATATAGAAGACTTGATACTTCCATATATATATCTTATTGATATGCATTTTCTCCTATTCTAGAGACCCTTTAAACCTCGCTCTTTACTCTTTTCAATGAATTTACTGTAAACATAGGAACACTTCTAAAATATACCTCATTTTTTCTCTCTCTAGATTCAGAATGGCTCTGCTATCTAAGAGGGAAATCATTAAATCTAGGTCTATAGGCAACGGATTAAATGCATTCCGCGACGAGTTTATATTAATTTACAGAAGTTTGGGTCTTCTTTGTTCTATTTAATCTATACACGAGCTTGATTATGATAGTACTTATTCTTTAAAGATAAATAACTATATCTAACTATAAATTAGTCTTTTAGAACCTTTATATTTGCCTAATACTAGTATTATAGACCCTTCCTGCTTCCCGCGTTTTGCTCTCTATGGTTGGCATTTACAAAAATTTATTTAATGATTTATCATTTATCCAGATTAAGCTCCAGTATTAACTCTGATAAATTTAATCTTAAGTGACTCCTGCCCTTATTAATCGCGGTATTTAATAGAGAATCTAATAAGATTATTTAGGATAAAATCTATGCAGCCGCGGCGGAAACCACGCGTCCCTAGGCTATCACTGTACGTCGAGTAAATGTTATATTTCTGTTCTACAAATATGATCTTAAATTCGTATAAACACCGGGATGATATAGACCCTGTGCTGAAGAAGGAACTAGGCTTAATATATATAGATGTATCTAGAGTGGCATTTGGCCAGGTTAGATTAGGTTAATGGGGTCAGTTATACCTAACCGCTAAATTGTGACCCTCCGGCCCGACCAAGCGTAGCCTATGATGGCCCGAATAGGTCTAGCGTACGGGTATCGAGAGAATTTTTCGGCGGCGGGGTACCGTTTTTCGGATTGGGTTTTCTGCCATGTTACTCCCGTTTGTGGGGTAAGGATTGGCATTCAGGTGTACTAAAATGAAGGTCTCGTGGATGGAAAAGTCTTTTTGGAAGGGGTTTGCTTGATGGTGTTCTGGTGGGGAGTTGCGTCATGCTTTTATTCCTTTTAATGTTTGCCAATTTAGTGCTTCGGCCAGGGTGAGTCAAGCCTGCTTAGATATATATAATCTTTGAAAAGAAGCTATTGAAAACGTCCTTGGTCGATATAATGGGAGAAACATACTACGTACTGGATCATTTCGATGCACTGGTATCTAAAATCATCCTACTGAGCGTGGACAGGGTCTAAATATGAAGTGGGAGCGGACATAATTTATCCTTTACAACGGTAGGGCAGTTGAATGCAATCTGCGATTCCTGGCAGGAACCAGGTCCTCCTAAGAAAGAGATAGTATAAGGCTGGTTGCAGCATCGATGTCAGCATCTGTGCGTAGAGGACAGACCAATCGCCTAATGTCAACGGTGATAGGAACGGGTATTCCTTTGACCTGATACCACCACTAGTTTTCCAACTTGAATCTAGGGGGAATCAGTGGAGGAGGCCTGATATAGATCCCGGGCCTTAGCTCCCGATGACTGGAGAATATAAACTTTTTTTTTTATGTTTATACAACTATCCCTGGACTGGAGGCGAAGGCATACCCTGTTGCTGTGACCGGTATACTTTCGTTAGATGTCCTTGCTACGCTGGCCGACGGCAACACCATGCAGCCGGCACGCTGTTCGTCAAGCGTCATTCGTAAAGGCAGATTGCACCTTCGACGTTGGAAAGAAATTTATCGTGTAAGAACGGCACAGTCCGTACTGAGGAGGAGAATTTATGTTGGCCCTGACGATGAGTGTATACTAGTCACTGCTCTCAACGTTACAAGGCCCCTCGTAACAAGCAGATCTTCGAGAGGATATGGGAATATATTCCTCTGATCATGATGTTTTCAATCCGGCCTTTCTAGATAGTGCATAAGAAAGTCAGAATCCAGCCGCGTTTAGCTTGGAGGTGTCCTACAAAAAGCTGTATACATGCTGGAAACACTCGGTGATTACATCGTCTACGGCACTGTCTCAACGAATGTCCATTATGCTTTCATTACACATTCTACCGGTAGGAACAGGCCTAGAGATAAATTGAATTCCTAGCAGACCGCGCTTTGCTCGAAGAACATACAACTACAGGTCACACCTATAGTTGCTATCACCGAAACCCCACTTACTCCAGCGACTTCAATATTTGCTCCTGCAGCAGTTGCTCTGTAAAATTCCATATCTGTGGTGTGTTGTGCGAGTCGAAAGTGGCTCCAGTATAATAGGTGTGCCGCTCACCCTGCAATGCGTTAAGCTCTTGGTAAAACCCATGCGCGATGGCGTCGGCCGAGACTGTCATCTGGTAGGGGCTGTGGTTTGCCAGTCTGACAAACTCAAGGTCAGTGCCGTCAATCCCTTGGGTCTCTCTGATACTAGAGATGCCTTTCACGATGCCGGCTTTTACCTGTTCTTCCGACAGTGGAGAACGACTGGAGAAATGGACTGTACATAAGCCCTGCACGTCGCTTGTTCTCATCATCAGTATGCCAGGTAGCTGCGGACGCAGGAACGGGTGATCCGCGCCTCGGTTTATATAACAGACATTATCGGGAATGCCCTGGATGCGGACCAATGCGGGATAGAAGTAAATGTGTTGGAATTGAGAGAAAAGCTCCTTCTCCTTGGGGCTGACATCGAAGCCTCCGAAGTTATCCAGGTGAGGTGGGAAGGCGACAATAATCTTTTTCGCGCGGATAAGCCTAGTCTGTGAGCCAGACTGCACTGTCATGTAGACCCAACCATTGGAGTCGTCTCGATTCATCTGCACCACTTTGCTATTCAACAGTGCATCTTCGCCTAGCTCTTTCCGGGCGGCATCGTATAGGGCACTGTTATTATGATCGGCTGGGCGAACGAATCCAGTCTTTACCCCGTTCATGATGTCAGCACACATGTACTTCATGATGTACAGTGTGGGCATATTTTGCCAATCGCCCAGTGCGTTGATCCACCCGCCTATTTGGCCGACCGCTGGCATCATGTCATACTTTCGCACGAATTCTCCGAATGTAAGAAGCAGATCCTCCGGCACTGGATCCGGTAGATCAAACCCAGTCTTCAGATAGGGATATTCGGCCAACTGGGCCATATATTTCTCCGTAAAGGCTGCCATTTCCGCCTTCGAGGAGTCCTGGACTGGCGTTCCCGTGCGGAAGTCAAACATGTGCATCTTGTAATCGAACACAGCTTTCGTCAAAGGGATTTCAAAGTGCTCGAACATATCTCGGACAGATGACAGGTTCTGGAAGTAGGTGACGCCGTAGTCAACGGCTCGACCGGACTCGGGATCGATGTAGGTGTTTGTCTGGCCTCCGAGGCGGTCCTGTTTCTCTACAACCACCACGCTTTTGTTGTGCTGACGGAGGCGAATGGCAGCGTGGGTGCCTGCTGGTCCGCCGCCGATGATGCAGACATCGCGAGTAATGATATCAAATGGGCTATACTTGGAGACATCGATGCGACCTTCCATCTGTGGAGGCGCAGTCTGTGCCATGGTTTGTGGAAATACACCCATAAGGAGGGAGAGGACATTGTGGAAGAACCCCATGCTTGTTTGAAACCGACTGATGACTGAGGAAACACCAATATGAGCGATGTGTGTTGGGCAGTGGTGAGAGAAAGTCACATTGGGAGTGTGTTTAAATCAGCCAGGTGGATGCCCCAAGACAGACATCCAATTGTCACTACACTAGTCTACCTGAATGAGTATCTCCGGTCTAGAGCCAGAAGACCCACATAATGTCCACATAATATCCACTTAATACTAACAACTCGGAGCCGAAGAGCCGGCCAGCCCATCTGAGTATGTGTTGCTGATCGCGCGGATGTTCCCGACCTCGTTTTCTGTGCTGATCTCGGGGATCTTGTGGGTCTGGGCTGGTTGGCTCGTAGTCTTCCTAATACGACAGGGTTCGTACTAATGAGGTGCTTCAAATGCACCTTCCTTTGAAATCATGTTCTCCCTCTCTGATCATAGGATACGACGGGGCCACGTCACTCCAAACTTCTAGGCAGGGGTTTAGGGGTCTGGATCGCCGAAGGGATGCAGTTTATTGAAACAATTCAGCCAGCCATGAACGCCACGAACCCTTCGTCTAGACCCACTATAATTTATGATCCACAGCGAGAAGAATGGAGTCGGCAGTAGTCTATCATGCTTCATTTTGCACGATTGCGTACATTTAGCATAGCTCGCCAATCATACAAAGCAACCTACCCAGGTGCCTTTGTATTCATCAGCGGGGGAAGAGAGAGAGAGAGAAAAGAAAAAGAAAAAGCAAAAGTAAATAAATAAAAACTTTAACTTGTTATCCTTACCCTTGTCTTAACACAAGGAGACAAGGAGGATACCTCGAGAATCCATTCGCACGTGTACGATTGGGTGGATGCTAATCTCGGCGAAGAAGGACTGATTCGTTGCTGAGTGACAACGATTTACCGCTCCACAGCTGACCTCGTGCATGGCCCCAGCAGACACAGGTGCAAGTGCCAGACGGATGGGTACCTAGGACTTTCCGGCACTTTCTCCAGGAGATCGACGTGGTTCATCGTGGTACGAATATCGGAGTATGGAGCTCACCGAGTTTTACTGACTACGGGATTGCCGTGGGCGATCTTGTCTCCACACGGCCCACTGTAAGCAAAGTCGTATTGGTCATGCTCGATGAAAAAGCAGAGCGGATGTTCCCGAGGTGGATCTCAGCGTGCCAGCGGTGATCTGCGGACAGTGACTTGTATTCGATAGCTCATCAACACTTGTCTAATTAGGAAATTGGTATGGGGCCATGCAGATCTATTACTATGAGTGGTGCTGATCAGGCCGATGAGGACCACCAGCAATCTCTTACTTCGGGTATTTGCCTTGCAAACACACAAAGCAGTTCAGGAAACGAAATCCAGCTGTAGGGAGGAATGAATAAAATCTGGATTGTTCTTAAATGTACGAACTCGGCTTTCTGATTTTAATTCACCTCTACCTGGCGTATATACCAATTAGGTAAGAAAAACATGAATGACGTGCATCTTGAAGCCATGCATGACATCTGATATATCTCGCTACACGTATGCCATTGCATGCTTTTGTATATATGAGATTGGTCATATCTACTGAACTACATGAGATATATATCATGCTATACCAGCGTTGTATGAGACGGGGGATGGAAGATGTCAGTAGCGTGGCGGTTCAAGTTGGCTAGCTGCAGCTGAGAGAGAATAGCAATCCTTCTAAGATTTCATATTATGCAATGCGTTCCGACTTTCTTACAGAAGCAAAGAGCGAGGAAGCTCACGATCCAAGTGTACTACCCTACTCAAAGCAGCGGAATTTTGCCTCAGCCCCCCATTGCCCGACGATATCGAGTTGGTCGAGATCATTGACCGCCAGGAATGTGTTGCTATATTCGTGCTGCGGTAGAATAGGTACCAGCCCATACTGTAGGGCAAGCCCCATGGTTAGCAAATATAAACATCGGGCGGGACGTACACGTTGGCTGAATCTTGATCGTATAGCTTACCTCGGTCATTCCATTGCTGAAGCCACGGGGCTCCACCCAGATGTGATAACCTTGTCCGTTGATACGTAAGATGGCCTGTTGAGTCTCAGATATGGGTCCAAGAAGGGTCATGTTCGTGTCGATCGGGTGCCAGGGACAAAGAAACTTACTTTGGTTGGATTGCCGAATTTGCCGACCCTCTATCAAATCATATCTTTTAGAGTCTGTACCGGAGTGACTAGCTAGGATGCAGGTGTGATTACTTACACCATCGTCACGGCACAGCCAGAACTCTCCGTCCGCACGGAGCTTAGTCTGATCATCTAGCTCTTTTCCTCTGGGGAGAAGCGCGAGCTCATCCCGGTCATTGATGGTTAGGGTTCGCCCCGACAAAGAAGTATAGTATCCAGAGAGAGTGGGCATTGTTATACTTGACTGTTGCGCAAAGCGTAGCTCGGACCGTTGGCGAAAGAAGGATGTGAAATTCAAGTAGCTTAATTGGGGGGCATTCGACCCGAGTTGAAGACATATATAAAGACGTCGGGAGAGTAAATCATACAGTGATTCAATTTAAATTGGGGCTAGGAATTGGCGTATAGGAATTGTGGAGGCTAGGTTACGGAAGCTAATAGGACTCGCCACTAATACGGACCGAAACTTTAATTGATTTTCTTCGAAGAAAAGAGCACAGATGCATGCAGCTTATGAACGACGTGATTCACAGAACCGCATCGATGCCAGCTAGGCAAGGCTGTCGGGTTTCAATCAAGAAGGTTCAATAGCGCATCCACACATACATACATGGTTCAGCTGTCAACACGCTGTCATTCCGCTCAGCTGATCGACATTAGATGGACCTCAAAAGCTCACCAGGGAATTAGTACATAGAGGAATTTGAGCAGCCGAAGCCGATGTACAGCTCTCGTTTACCGGCCAAGCATTCGTGGCGTAAAAACAACTGGGTTAGCTTTGGCGGTGTATGGAGAACCAATTTTGGGCGTAAAGACATAGATGACACTATTGCCAGCCTACTGACGACGATCAGTGGGTGAGGTACTCCTGTACCCTCCCTACACCTCAACTCGTGCGCGATGGTGCAGAACCCGAACTACGGCTGGGTTCGGTGTGGGTCTGCGGCCTGGATCGTGCAAACCTATTACTAAATCTCATGTACTTTTCATCTTACCTATAGTATTTGTTTTTTTTTTTTTTTTTTTTTTTTTTTTTTTTTTTTTTTTTTTTTTTTTTTTTTTTTTTTTTTTTTTTTTTTT